ATATAAAAGTGCAACTATGCATATTTGGTAAATAATGACACTTTTAATGCAACTTGACATTAAAAGTTGCATTAAATGTGTGCATTTTGAATTACTTGGCTAAAAATGACACTTTTAATGCAAAGTTGCTCTAAAAGTTTCATTAAAAGTGTCAATTTTGAAAGATTTGGTAAATAATGACAACGCAACTTTTAATGCAACTTGACATTAAAAGTTGCATTAAAAGTGTCAACTTTGAATTTTTTGTTAAATAATGACACTTTTAATGAAAAGTTGCATTAAAAGTGTCAACTCTCCATTATTTGAAGTTCAGTTATTTGTTTATTTGCATTTTTTTTAACATATTTTTAGTATTGTATAAAATAAGCTTAAGGGGTTAAATGTAAAATCAGCAGAATCAGCTGTTTTTTTTTTTTTTAAATCCGATCACTGGTCAGAATAATTGATTGGTAAAATAATCATCAGCTGCAGCCCTACTCCTGATTTCTGTTTTGCCATGAACTCTTCTAAATTTTGCAGTTTCGTTCTTCTCGCCTCTGATCCTCCCTCTGATCTTTCATCAGAGTCAGATTTACTTGTAAAGAGGTTCAAAGTGGCGCATGAGGCCGTTTAAGGAGTAGCTGCGAAGAGCAGCCGCAGCGGGAAGGAGATGATCCAGAAACGCTGGTCTGGGGAAACGCCGGTTAATTAGGCGCTCGGGTTTGGCGCTCCTTCTGAGATCCAGCTGCCCCAACAGATTGACTCGTCAAATAAATAAAAAACGCAGAATTAAAGCTGCAGGTCAGTTTTCTGTGAGATAAATCATCAGTTTTATGATCAGCGTGTGTAATGGTCCACCTTAAAGTGAACAAATCATAATTTTTACAAGGTTTCATCTTTTGTTCAGGATTTTTATTTAGCTCATGATAATTATAATAATCTAAAAAACAACACCGTATTTGTTTCTCTTGCATATTCAGACATGAATATTTAATTATTTATATGTATAATTTGAAATCTTGTATTTTTATAAATATATTTCTGCCCAAAAATATTGCAGAACTAAACAAATTTCCATGAAAATGTCAAAATCTGCACAGAAACATAAAGATTGAACACATTATTTAGACAGATTATCAGCTAAATTAAAGATAATTTGTGAGTTAGATTCACTTTAAATATTTACTTCTAGTATTTCCAGGTTGTCTGGATCTAAAATATATTTGCCCTTTTAAGATCAGCTCATGATTAGAAATGCACCGATCCGACATCAATATCTGTATCGGTCCTGATATTTTAAAAAATTCTAGATTGAGCATCAGTGACAATATACCTGATCTATAAGGGCGGATCTATTCAGTCTAACTATATTTTCTGCTCTGAGCGACATCATGCTTTTTTATTTATTTTAAATTATATTTATAATTCCTAATCTCATTTTCTGAAGAATCTAACAGGTTTGTTGCATGTTTTTACAGGTTTGACCACCATGGTCACCTTCTTGTTCTTTGGTTTCATGTCTGAATGTCTGCAGCTCACAATAGTCGCCCCACTGTTGCCAACTCTGCAACTTTCTTCTCATATTTATCAGCATTTCAGATAAAACAAATCAGAATCGGCAGGTCAGGCTTTTTACAGATCGGTAATCGATCTTGCAATCGGTGCATTCCTATTAAATGCATGTTAAACAGTTTATTGAAGCATATTTCATACTTTCAGTATTTTTAGGTTGGGATATATTTGCCCTTTAAAAGCTGCTCATGTTGTTCCTCTTTGTCTGCTGATCCGCCTGAGAGAACCGCAGGTTAATGACTGCAGGAAGGCGGCAGCAGGCGTGCTATTGTTGAGGACAAACCTCATTTCTTCCTGCTCATCTCCACAGAGCGCCGCTCTCCTGCCGCTCCCTTATGTCATCAAGACCTCTCTTAACTTCTTAAGAGGATTAACATGTTCGGTAATAGGCGTAGCATCCATTTCATTTCAGCTCCATTGTGCGGTTCTCATTCAGGATGGCAGCAATAACACTGAATTTCATGTTCGGCGTCCCGGTTTGAGTGCGGCTCAGCTGTGCAGAAACCCAGAGAGCGCAGCTAGAGGTGCGGGATTAGGGATGGATGCTCAGGGAGAGGAATCTCATTACGGGACGTAACGCTCCCGGGGAAGACGCCAGCCGTCAATCGATGCTGATTGGTAACACAGACCCAACTCGAGGAGCAACAATGAGGTACTTTGAATGAATATGTAATGAGAAGTTTCTCTACACGCCTGTGCCTGTCTTGTCACAATTTTGGCTGCAAACACTTCAGCGCTCTGACACAATGAATATCCACGGAAACAGTTTTCAAATTGGGTTATACGGCGTGTAGCTTACTGTAATCAGAAGGAAATAACTGCTGTCATTAGCTGGAGCTAATTCAAACTGATCCAACCCTGCAGCTCTTTGTTGCTCTCTTAGCTAACTTCAGACACGAGTCCAGAAAAAAACCCTTTTAAGAGCGCATTACTGCAGCAGCTCCTCTGTGATTTGTATTTGTGCATGCAGTGGCGTACTGTCAGCGCCTTCCTACTGGTGCACGGATAATAGTCAGCCTGGTAAAAGAAAAACAAAGATGGAACAGTGATCAACACTTCTTCTAATTATCCACATTGCCGCCAGCAGATGAGAAGATGCGGCGTCTCGGCTTCTGCTTGCATGCCTGATCAAGACGAACGCCGTGTCAGAGCTGAACACGCTGCAAAAATACAAAACCTTACCAACTAGTTTTGGTCTAGTTTCTAGTGTAAATATCTCGGTGCCCTTGAAATAAGACAAAACTAATTTACATGCAACTTTTCAGCAAGATATAGGAGCTTGTTTTAAGTAAATAATTGCATAATATTTTTGAAAAAGTTCTAGTTCCACTCATCTATAACTAAGTCTGCATTGATTGGAGTTTTCTGGTCGATTGCCGATTACGATCTTTTAAAAGCCTGACCTGCTGATTCTGATTATTGCAATAAAGCAATAAAGTCACTGAGTTGGTAACAACCATTGTTAACATCGTAAATCAGGACAGTGGTTGATTTTTAGACCTTTAATGAAATGGATAATATCGGTGAATAAGTATCGGCCGATACCCGATTTCACAAAATTAAAGAAATTGACATCCATAAATCGGTGACCTACTTCTAACAAGACATTTTCCCATGTTACAAGTGAAATCATCTGGAACTAGAACTTTTTCAGTAATATTACGGAGTTGCTGACTTAAAACAAGCTGCAAATCTTGCTTCAATGTTAATTATAAGTTTGAAATAATAAATCTGACATTTCAGACAAATTGTTATCGGCCAAAATCGGAATCGGCAGGTCAGGCTTTTTAAAGATCGGAAATCAGCGATCGGCCCGAAACGATCAATTGCTGCACCAGGATATTTTTTTTTGTTTTTGCAAATAAAAGTCACAGATCACAAACTATTCTAAAGAATCTAATTACTGTGTAATATTTTTACAGTTACACCGGCGCATTTATTTTGACATTGATGCTGAGAATCATATCAGGGATAGAAAGTTAAGAGTAAAACCGCGTTGATGACTGAGATGAAACATCTGGCTGATGTTGCCTCTGATAATCCTCATTCTCTCCAAGCAATAAGGAGGAAATTCAGTTTAGCAGATAATACGTTGTGGCTGTGAATGTGTGTGACAGCCGCCTGGGCCTGAGATTCATGCGAGTGTGGGCTGCGGCCGGATGTCGCCCAGGCCGAGCCGCTCTGTTATCAGCTCTGCCTCCTGTGGTTGTCGGAGCGTATCGGCGCGCTGCCGTTAGCGGCGCCAGATAACGGACCTTACGAAGACACAGCACTTAAATCACGTTGTCACTTTGCAGCGGCTGTGTGGCCGCGGTCTCCGCCTCCCATCCGCCCACTTCTCCCTTACCAGCAGCAGACGCTCAAACTGGGGCTCTGCTGTTTCCAGCAGCTTTAAGTTGATTCAGCTTTCATCACTCTTAAATTATTGGCATCTCTTACACACCCTCCTGTTTGTTTCTATTGTCTTAGTACATGCCAGGGCAATTAAGGTTTAGAAGGGTGAAAACAGGATCTGTGGGCGATGCAAAACATGTTCATTATGTTTTTATTTTTTTGCACAAAATATTCTTGAATGATGAGGTGTCAGTCTGCTTAGTTCAGCCCATTGTGAGCATTTTTACGACCTCTTGTCACTTTAAATCCAAATAAGCTTCTTCTGCACTGCAAAAACACAAAATCTCAGCAAGCATTTTGGTCTAGTTTCTAGAGCAAATATCTTATTTCACTTAAAGTAAGACAAGGTTAACTTACAAGAAACTTTTCAGCAAAATACAGGAGCATAAATCTAAAATAACTTAATATTGGTAAAAAAAAGTACAATTTCAATTGACAGATTATAACAAAACATTTGGAAATGGAAGTTGCTTTTCACCAATATTTAATAATTATTCATTCTAAAGAAGCTGCATTTCTTGCTGAACATTTCTGAAGAGTTAGTTTTGTCTTATTTTAAGATATTTGCACTAGATTTTGTGTTTTTGCAATGTGGCCGTGCCTTTGCACCTGACGTTTAAACTCTCACATGAAAATGGCTGCAATCTTTGAAAAGCAGAAGTGGAGCCTCCTGCACAATCAACAGGAATGCAGCAAGTAGTTTCTGAATAGTAACAACATTACTGTCTTTTCCAGTAGCTTTACTGTTACAAAACCAGATGATCAAACGTGCCAGAGCTCTGCTTGCGTTGCTAGGTAACGGCGCCGGGCATTACCAAAAACCAAGAAACTTTTAACTTATGGCTAAAAAACCTCAGGATGTTTTTTAAGCACTTATAGTGTTTTTAGAAGCAGTTGAACTGGTATAAAAGTATAAAAATGTTTAAAAAATGTGAATTTTGTGTAATATTTCCCCTTTAAACTCTAGCTAATGCTGATCAGGCTTCCAGTGATGCTAACAGCTTAAATGAAACATTTGATGTCTCACATTTCATGTATTTTGCAGCAACCGCTCCTGTTTATTGCCTTTTATTGATCAGCCCATAAACATCAGAAGCTGTAATAAAAATTTTAAGGCTCATTGTCAGATCATTATGACGGTCTGAGCTGCTCTGTGTTAACCTGAGCATCGCAGAGAGCTTCCTGTTATTAAACCGACCTAAAACCCAGTGAGTCGTCATAAAGAAGGGTTAAAGCTTCAGAGTGTCAGCGCAGCTAAGCTCCGTTACATTACAAATCGTTCCAACTTCCCTCACATTGCATCTGTTACGGATCTGAGCAGAGAGAAATGTTTGGGAAGGAAACTCTGTCACCTGATTGGTCATGGCATCTCTTTGAAGTAGCCTGCAAGGCTCTTGATTGGCTCTCTTGGAAGCAAATCAGATTCTGATGGTTTCCTGCAGCAGTTTTAAGACAAAAAAATATGATTTTATTTTTTATTTATTTTTTAGTTTATAAGAGTTTGGAAATTGTTGTCAGACTTGCTGCTACAAATTGTGAAAAAGTGAAGAAATTACTTTTGCAATGACTTTTTCCAACTATGAGATTCAGCTCATCTTTCCATAAGAACTAATTTTCCCAGAACTTTAGTTTACTACTGTGAAACAGGGTCATTTCATGGATAACTCCTGAGACTGCAGCTGTTTTCACCTCAAAAACCAAAAGAAAAGTAATCATACTTTAAAACTTAGCTGAATCCGCAGAAAGGTTTAACTAGCTGCTTTTCAATTGACCGTAAAATTACGCAGATGGGGTTTAGAAAATAAATTAGCTTAATGGAAAAACGTTTTAAAAACACTCAGGTTTTGTGACAAAAAGATGGTTTTGACACACCAACAATAGTCGCTTCTAGAAGATCAATGGGACAGAAAATGTAGGCTCATTAAAATACAGTCATAGGAAAAAGGAAAAGTACATCCAGTTTCAATCCTATGGTTTTATCAGGAAATATCGCAATATTCTTGTATTTAACTGGTTGTATATTTACTTAAATTAACTCAAAAAACAAACACCATATTTCACTCTAGCCATATAACTGTGCAAATTGGAAACACTGACTTAAATTTGCGCATATTTCACTAACCTGCGATGGAAACTCTTTTTCTTTGCGTCTCACGGGTCACATGATCAACAACCCGGATGTTACTACTGCCGGAAACCACGAAGAAGACAACAGGAAGTAGTTGGAAGATGAAAGCGTAACATGTTTTTTGTGTTTGTTTGTCGTGTGAACAAACTTATTCACACGTGATTTAAATTGTTTCTTATTTAATGGAAACACTGCTGTTGTGAACTTGTGTTTTTTCGACATTAGCGGCATATCTACAAAGTTTTGCTCACATTTGTAACGGAAACGCAGCTACTGACACATTTTTAAGTGATTTTCCTGATGAGACTTTTTATCGGCGACAATTTAAACTGTGTTGCAGTTTAACATATGATGTAATAAAAAAACTGATTTTTTCTTTTACATATTTAATAGTAAGTGAGTTGATGAGTTATGAATTTAAAAATAAAAATGACAGAAAAGTTTGAAGGAAGTAAAAAAAAACATCCCTAAGTAGAAAACTTCTCGGCAACACAGGTGTCATTTAGTCATGTCTCATTTATCTCTGTGTAATAGAAATCACCCTGAAATGCAGAAAGCATGAAATTACATGACTTTTTTCTTTTTTCTTATTTTACAGCATCCATTTCATTCAACTTTAACTCCTACTGAGATGTCATAAAGGAACAGGAGGCAGGATGGCAGTAATAAAATCTTAGATGACAGGCTGAATTTACTTCTGATGAGGCTTTTTTTCTGTTTGTTGAAACATAGAAAGCAGAATCTGCTGCAGATTTTCCAGCTGTGATTAAATATGAATGCGTAAATACGAGCAATAAAGCCTGAACACACAAGGCAGCAAAAGGGATCATTAAAAGTTAACACCAACAGAACAAAAACAGACCTTTTTTAAGTGACGTCCACGTCGAAGAAGCACCAAATTAAAAATCTGCATTTTGTAATCACAAATTAGTCACATTCTGCTCTCTCTCCCAGGCCTTTGAGTTTTATTTTAACCCGTTTTTGTAGCAGTGAATGTCAGGACTGCGTAATCACGCTCCATAATCTCCAGCTGTCCACTTCATATATCTGTATTCGCCCCTGGCAGTCGCCGCTTTCTCATCCTAAAATAGCTTCAAACGAAACACCGTTCAGCTGAACCGCTCCTCGTCTTTGTTATAGTCGCCGGCTCGGAGATTCAGCCTGTTTCTTTTTTCGTGAACAGCCTTTTAACAGCTGCATGCTTTTGTACTTTTCAACAGTTTAAATTAACTATCAGTGCGGGGGCTTTGTGTGTTCAGAAACTTTCTGGTACAAGTGAGAATATAAATACTTCCTTTGTTTGCTTCCCAGTTTAATAGCGCATATTTTTCCAGCTTTGATATTCTGCTGAAGCTGAAGGAACATGAACCCACAAAAATACAACAAACAAATCCAATTCCTCCAAACGAGCATTTGGTTCAATCGTTTTTAAAGTTTTTACTGTCAGGATCAATAATACACTCTTCAAAGGGCTCCAATTTTAACCCGTTGCTTAACACAGTTTAATCAAAACAAGTGGTAAAACATTTATATCTATTTTCCCTTCATCTATTAGTGACTGGGTCAAAAATAAAAATGTGAAAATTGACAAACGGATCCCGTCTGTAGTTCAGTTTCATCATCTCCTTCTTACTAAGTTCAAGCCATTTTCACTGCAAAAACACAAAATCTTAGTTAGTAGTTTTGGTTTAATTTCTAGTGCAAACATCTTAGTACACTTAAAATAAGACAAAACTAACTTACAGATAACTTTTCAGCCAGATATGAGAGCTTGTTTAAAGTAAATTATTCCTTAATATCGATGGAAAAAGTAATAAATTTTACTGGACAATAAATTGTCCCAGAAATTATCATGATAAACGATAATATTGTTTTTATGAGACCATTTTCAAGTATTATAATGGTAATAATGGCATAATAAGGCAAGAACACATTCTCAAAGATCAATGAACTTTAAATTGTAATGAAACACTGGAACTGGAAGCCGATTTAAATATTTAAAATAAAACAACAAATGAGATGAATTATGAAGTCTCTCCAAACAAAACTGGAGCTAATTCAGACCAGATCGCCAGACTGAAGATTTTTATCATCCAGTTTTTGGTAGAAAGAGAGAAAAACAATAAATCATGCAAATGGGAATTATTTAGCTTGTTTTAATTGATTAATTGATTGATTATTGCTTATTGCGACAGGCATAATTCAATTGGCGATTCTTTCACTCATAACAAAACATCTTCCCCGTGTAATAAGTGATTCTTTTTCATCAATATTAATGAATTATTTACTCAAAACAAACTCTTACATCTTTCTGAAAAGTTACTTTATTTAAGTGTACCAAGATATTTGCACTAGAAACTAAATCAAAGATTGTGTGTTTTGCCGCTCAGGTGGTAAACAAGAGCTCTCAGTGCTGTTTGTATTTGTTATATGCAAATCATTATTAACAGGTCAAAATAACCGATTGTTTGGGATCAATTGGAGTTCAAGCTATTAACTCTGACAAAGCAGCCAGCTCTTTATCAAAAAGAGTCGTTTGCTTCGCTGCCGTTAAAACGAGTCAAACAGAAAGAAAAACTGATTGCAAATCTTGAAGAGTCTCAACCGAAAATGAATTAATGTGCTAAAAAACAATCAGAAAACTCTGACGATCCAGTCGGCATCGCTGTGCCGGTGAATCGGTGTCAAATAAGTCACCAGCAGCGCCCGCTCCTCTGCATCCTGCATCCGACTGTATCTGTAATTGCTTTGTGTTTTCCCTGACAAGACAACAAGCAGCCGGCATCAGGATTTGTCGAGTAGGAGGCGTAAGCGCGTTATTCCTAGCTGTAATTTTATGCTCCTCACTATGACCTCTTTAAGGAGAACAGAGAGCAGGAGGAGGAGTTATCGTACCGTTTCCCGTCGCGTGGCGATGATTTTCAGGCACGTCTCGCCTCATCCCGGCCAAGAATTTGTCACCAAGCAAGCGTGTAATGACATTACTTCTGTGCGCTGAGAGCTTGTAATTGGTGTGAAATTATCTTATTAAATGAAGCCACTGGAAACTCTTGGGCTTGAATAACGAATTCTTGGGGGCTCACTGGGTCAAAGGCGGTCAATTCAGACAAATGGAGAAGCGGTTGAACTGGCCGCTCCCAAAGCAGGAGGCAGATTTTTCCTTCCTGTGTTTGGCGTGACCCCATCAGAGGGAGAAAAGCAAACTGTCACATAAAGGCAGAGGGCAGTCTTCCCTAAAGGCCATTTGCATTTATGGTTTAATAATGTAATGACTCTCGGATGATACCAGCAAATTTATTAGCAGGGAGCGCGACACTGGGCTGGTCAGCAGATTTCTGTTATTAAATGTCTGAAATGCTTCTTATCCTCGGTGATTCAGGACTTTAGCTCACAATGCCGGGCGACTCTTCGCTTCCTTCTCCTTTATTACCTGCAAGTCATTTAACAATTTCCTTTGGTCAGTGTTGAAGTTTGTGTGGTGGATCTAAAAAGCCGGCATTGTAATGAAAATGAAATCATTTCACAATTTATTGCTTACTTAAAACCAGGTGTTTAAACATACGGTATAAAACCCCCATATTCGTTTCACTAAACCTAAACCAAAATTATTAATGTTTAATAACAACAGCATATTTTGCAAAGAAGATTTTTAAGGTTACTAAAAAAGTGCACTTGTAGATCTACTTTAAGGCATTTTAAGTTGAAAGTGTCATTATCTTCCGTAAAAAGAGTCTGAAATAACATAAAAAACCAGATAATCATTTGCAAATCAACTCAGGGAGAAATACTTTGTTTATTCACCAAGTTTGTGAACTCAAATAAGGAAACTGACTTTGATCCCCCTTCTGCGATTATTTAAAATATAGATATATAAAAAAAGGCAAAATAAAAAGATTTGTTTTTATAAATTTCTAGATATGAAATAAGAAGAGTGCAA